TCTCTCTCTCGTTTCTCCCGTCGCCCCTCTTCCCGTAGCCTCTGTTGCCTCTCTTCTCGACGGAGACCACAGTGGACGGCGACGACGCTCTCATCGGACTGAAGCCCACCCCAATCGACGACATCAAGCGGCGACAGTGAGTGAAGCAGTGGTGATGACATCTCCGACAGCGCTTGTATGCCCCTCTCTCCATAGCCATGCCGGCAGCTTTTGTATGCCCCTCTCTCCACAATCGGGCTCGCCAGGAAGAAGACTAGCACCGTCACCATCGCCGACGCGATGTACCCAGGCCTTCGACGCTGCCTTCATCTTCTCTCCCCTTAACCCAGGCCTCCGAAGCCGCCAACGTCCCCCACTGCCCCTCTCCATCTTCTTCCTCTCTTTCAGACGCCGTCGCCTCCACGTTGCCAGAGGATACCGCGTCGGCCTCTCTGTGAATGCTACTTCCCATGGCTTTGCTTATTTTTTTTTTTTTTGGGTTTTGATCGTTGTTGGTTTGCTTGGTTGACAGTGGCGGTTTGGATGGGTTTGGAAGGTATTTTGTATGTTGGTGGTAGTGTTTGTGTGGTGGTGGATCTGGTGGCGCTAAAATTTTTGAGGGTGGTTTTCGTTTGTTGTATTGACATTTCTTGGCGGTGGGCTGTGGTGGCTTGATGTTGACGGCCCTCGTGAGGTGTTGGCGGTGTGTAGAGGAGTAGCTTGCTGCTCTAGATTGGGCTGGGGGTAGACACTGGTCGGGGCTGTTGTGCACTGTGAAACGGAGTGTAGTGAGATGGTGGTGTGGTTGGGTGCAGTGGTGGTGGCTTTGTGGGTGTGCGATGGTATTTGACCAGATGTGCTGTGTGGTGGGTTGACAATGGTGGTGTAGGTGGAGGATCTGGAGGATGTGGTGATTTTGGTTGTGTGACTAAAAATATAATTTGTGACCAAAATTCGGTAATCTGTGACTAAAAATATAATCCGCGATCAACCATTTTGTTAATTGTGACCGAAAAACTATATAACATGTGACCGAAAAAAAATCTGTGATCAACTAATTTTGAAATATGTGATCATGTGACCTATAAATTTTGATCTGTGACCAATGAGTTAATTGTGACCTACAAAAATTTTGAACTGTGATCATAAAATAATCTGTGACGTATAAAAATTATTATTTGTGACTGAAAAATAATATGTGCCTAATTAAATTATAAATCTGTGACCGGAATGATTGCCGGAATAGTTATCGGAATTGTCGTCGAAATAGTTGCCGGAATCGGAGCAGTTGCCGGAGTAGTCGTCAGAGAAGAGTGGTGGTCGGAATGGTCGCCGGAATAGTCCCCGGAGCGGTAGGGGTAATGCATGTGGGGT